CCTCCTCCTCTTTTTTTCTAAACAAAATGTTAAATATAGGCTATTAGAGGTGTGCAATATTGTATGTATCTCAATATTTTCTGGTATTTGATCGATAACAATAAGTAGATGATATTGTGCTGAGTGTGTTATTGTGCTGATATCTTAAGGACTGCGGTGGACAGCTGACTCCTGAAGTGCTTGATATTCTTCATATTCTGTGTGCTGGTCACTTCACAGCAGTGAGAGAAATTAATCTCTCCCAATAAGTTTTAATCGATTTGTACCTTTTATGAGCATTTTTACCTTTTATAAAGCCATTTTTCTAAAAGTGTGCATCATCATCTTTTCAGTTAAACTCTTAAATTGAATCAGTCCATTAGAATAATAAGTCATGTGGGCTGTTACCAAGCAAAATAAATGAGTATTAAACTGAATCTTTGCAGTGCAGAGGAAACACAGCAGCTGCGTCTGAAGAGGCGTTTAGATGCGTTTACACACTGTTTAATGCAGGACAGGAATGTGTTTAAACTGCAGTTACACATGCATTCATACGGTTTCCATATTTTAAACATAAAACGTTGAATACTGACATTTGAAATTATTTAAGAAAATGCAAAGATGCTTTAAATGTGAAATGAAAGCCGCCAGCAGGTGGCAGCAAGTCACTGTTAATAAGCGAGTCACTGCGACTGAACCGAATCATGTAAACGCTTGATTCATTCAGGAACCAAACTCTGTCCTGTTGCTCAGAGACGCACATTGAAATTATATTTGTTGGCGAAATAGAGCAAAAACAGTCAATATTGTGTCAAAACGTAAGTGTCGTAATACTGATTTCTTCTTTATTGAACTGCTGTATAAAATCAATATCACATTTGTAATCATGCGGCTTTTTGGTGGAAAAAACGTCAGTCTTCGCGTGATACTGATTAACTATATGCATACGATATACATTTCTGCCCCCATATGTTGAATTTTGTGATCATTCTAAATGCATTTGAATAAACTGAATCATGCAGGGACAGAACCTGCACTGCTCTAACCTACTAGCATACACAGTAACTCTCTCACGAGTCAGGGATGTTCGCAAGACAAATGAACTATAATTGCCTTTTGTCTTTGGATAATTAGCTGTAAATTCGAGGCACAGGTAGCTTAGTCAGTTGTTCATCACCACAGCAAGACAAACACAGCTGGAGAGAGGAGGGCTTCACTTCTGTGCTGCGCATGCGCAGACCAATGCTGCTGCTGCTGAGCTGCGCGAGACTCGGAGACCCCGGCTGATATTCAGATGTTTCATTTGTTTGACAGGGAAAGCTGTGACACACACATATAGATATATTTATTTATTCAAAACAAAACAAAAAAACAACAACACTCCCCAGAACAAAAGGGCACGTGCCTGATTCCTTACATTTATAGCCTAATCAGTGGCACGTTCCAGCTCAAACCGGTGCGCCACGTTTTGCTTCGGTTTCCGGGTTGAACGACATGTTTCCTGGAAACAGTGTGTAACAGGGTTTGAGATGGTTTTCTCTTGTTTGGTGGGTGTGTCACACGTGTCAGCCCATCAGCAGCAGCATGTATATAAACCACGCAGTATTAAAGAGACAGCTGCACAATGTAATTAACATTAACAATATTGTTTGCACACGTTTATTTACATTAAAGGCAAAATAACTGAAATAATAAGAGCACAAGTATAGATCTGGAACTTCTTTAAGTCTGTCTAAATATCATTTAGTAATTGCAATGTCTTCTGGTCCATATCCTTTCCTTATGAAGGTGTGCTAGACACTGATTAATGCAACATAAAAATACCATACATATTTATATATTTTGCTATTGTATTGTGGAGTGACACTTTCATAAACTTTTCTATACCCCTCTGATTATATAATGGTAAATATTACAATAACACAACAACAGTGATCAGCAGTAATGATAAGCCTAATACTCACAATAAAAATAATAAGGTCATATAGATCATAACACAGTCTCGGAGGTAAGAAGTGGGTTATCCTTCACCTGAAATGCGAGGCACATGTTGGATCACAATAATTAGGAAGCACAGTTTCCACAAACCCCTTCACTGGATTGGGATGTTCTCCTTTATTCTGGAGGGCAAGGGCTGTGACTGTACCATCGAGCGTATTTTGCAGTATTAAACATGTATTTATACCGATTTCATCAGGCTCCGAAAATTCTTCAAAAAGAACACAGAGACTGGCCTTCTCAGCTGCCGTAGCTGCTACTCTTGCGTCATCAGAACAGAGTTCAACGCACCACCGTTTCCATTTAAAACACGCTTTGCACCGTTTCGTCAGAGCTGAACGCAGCCCAGGAGAACAACTGACAAACACCAGCCAGATAATGCATTTCAACACATTGCCTGCTCAAAAAGATTTAAAACATGGAAATAAATGTAATGAAAGTTTTGACTCAGAAACACATTTAACTGAACATTAAAATTTGAAGAAAGACTGGACTTGTATTTTCCTGTAAAACATACTCCAAACAAAACTTTTAAAACTATAGTTTTCCTCTGTGTTCTGGTGCGTGACGTTACGTTGTCCCTGCTGCACGGAGCTCGAGTGTTTAGTGTCGAGACGGGCCCTCCAGCACCCACGCTCTTCCTCTCCGAGCAGATGATTCAGATCAGACTATAACGCAGCTTTAGCTGATGTACATTTACATCTAACCATTGAGCAGACGCTTCTATCCTGAGACTTACAAGAGAGCAACAGCACACAAGTGATGTGACTAGTCTCAGTTAGTCTAGCACAGCACACACAGCAAGAGCTTTGCTTAGTTTCTTTATTTTTGAACAGTGAACAGAACAGAACAGAATAGATAAGTGCTTGTATTAATTGTTGAGGTGCTGGCGAGAAAGACGCGTCTTTAGATGTTTTTAGTAAATGGCTAAAGACTCCAGCAGCTGGGCACTAACCAGTCATCTCTAACCCTAACCAGTTCATATAAATAGCTAAATGAGATCACTTCAGGATTTATGAGTATTCATATTTATATTAATCCACTTAATTCAAAATTTATCTCAATAATGTGTCATTAGTAACCCCTTGAAATCATATTTAATTTTTTGACATTTTTATGGAAAAGCGTGTTTTATGGTTAGTCACAATCGTGGGATACTGAACTTATAAATACTGA